AGTACATGAGCGAATGAGGCATATCTCATACTAAATAAAATAAGGACAAACTTGCCACCTTGACTATCAAAACTCTGCTGATTTTCCCAAAAATACTTCTTATATTGCCAAGCTATTCTAAACCCTTTCTCCCGAAAATTAGTGAAAGAAATTATAAATTTCCTAATGTTCACCCTACAAAAAGAATTATTGAACAAATACATGGAGAGAAGAATGGAAGAAGAGAACAACCTGATCAGGATCTCGATGACTGGACTTATCATCTTTGGGTAACGCTGGACAAGGCGAAGTACCGAGAAACTGTCTTGGGTCCTAGGATGGGCTTGCATAGAGAAGGGGTTGGTTGTACGAGTCATTGAGACATAAAATTTCTAATCAAAAGCATATATGATGAGGTACTTCTGCATCTTCCATCTCCGTGACTAGGCTTCCTAGGGAAAGCCCACCACCTAAAATCTCTACAAACCAAAGACAACCTTATAAAACTTCTACAAATAATAAATAAAAAAAAGGTACAATAATAAATAAAAAATAAAAAAATTCCAATTTAATCACCTCAGCTTGGTTTAACTATTCCCGATAAACTATTAGTGACAGAAGATTACTGTCAAGGTCCAGTATCCCAGATGAAATGAACATTGTGCCATTAGGACCACGCTTGAGTCCAGGGATTTGATGTGAGTTTACAGCTGCAAAGTTGGGAGAGAAGCAACTTGTCCGAATCTTGGTCGCAGACATGGCTGCAGAAACACCCTCTACCAATCTCAATCAGAGCACCTAAGTAACAGGGGAATGAAGATTATGAAATGTAATAATTAATGTTAACTAATAGCTAAAGGAACACAATGTTTCATGTTAATACTACAGACTAGGACTTACAACCACGCAGACGCAGAGTCCATTTTCAACGAGAATGCCGCTGCTTTTACCTTTGATAACTCAGAGCATTTATCGTATCCAGGGATTAGGATTTGATTACTTTCAAAAGGGTTTTTTTTTAAAAAGGAATTCTATTTTCCAATATCATTCAATTATACCAAGCATGCATGTATCCTAGTGTTGGTGTGCATTGTAACCACACGACTGTTGGCGTGACTTGTGGATATTGACTTACTTTCCTTACACACCAAGAATTCCTATTATAATTGTAATTGATTTACTTTAATTCATGATTTTCTATTGTAAATAGATTTAGAAATTTATTATTTATTTGTCCATTTAGGTTTCGTTGTATTATAAATATGACCTCCTACAAGGAGAAGAATACACAAAAAATTCTCACAAACAAATATTCTCTCATATTTTTCATATTTTAGCATGGTATCAGAGCAGCGATATTGGAATTGCTGACTCTAGTTTCAAACCCTCGCCGCCGCTATGGGGGTTGATGATTTTTTCAACCTTCATGGATGTAGCACCACCGACTCCTTCTCTCCTTCTCAACAAACCATAACCGAGTTTAGTGCCCAGATGGCTCAGCTCCTACAGATGCAGACTTTGGCCCCAAATCTGATCCTGAATCAGGATCCTATTTTGATGACCCCGAACCCGATCCAGAATCAGGATCCTATTTTGACGACCCCGACTATGACGACTACGACGACGACCCCTGTCACGCCCCGGACTCGGAGGTAGGTGGAAATCCCACGCCCGGTGCGTGAGAAAATAAATAAAATAAAATAAAATGAAAAGAAAGCCGAAATATGGTTTGAAATGAACTTCTCTTATAAAAATAGCTCCAAAATCTTACAACTTTACAAGAAATAAATAAAGCTCTACTACTCTCATCTAATTCAGCATGAATCGATTTAGTCCTCGTCTTGCCTACTAATTCATCTGAAAAATTAAACAGGGTGAGGGATGAGCAACCACCGCTCAGTGAGTAGATTATGTGCCAAGATAATTACACATACTAATATATGTATAACTAAGATAATTATATATTAAAAATATAGGGTTTCACAATCTACCCTCCTTAAAAGAAATTTCGTCCTCGAAATTTACTAACACTTCATTAAGAAAATCTACTCCAAAAAGTTATGCCCCTAATAATTTATGTCAATTAAAACTTATTTTGTACTAATACAAGATCATAGTTCCCAAGGGTGTCTAATCCCTATGCTCTGATACCATTCTGTCACGCCCCGGACCCAGGGGTAGGTGGAAATCTCGCGCCCAGTGCGTGAGAAAATAAATAAAATAAAATAAAATGAAAAGAAAGCCGAAATAGGGTTTGAAATGAACTTCTCTTATAAAAATAGCTCCAAAATCTTACAACTTTAC